CCCCCCTCACAAATTTCACCAAATTTTCGCTTATGGTTTGTGGTGCGTACACACACTAAAAACGCAATAGCTAGGACATAGCGTAATACAAAAATAATAATAATTTATACTTATGAATGTTACGATGAAATTATTACACCAATAACAATTTAGGTAATCATACGCGAGACATCAATTCTATTTCAGACTTACAGTATTGCAATAAATAACGACTCGGTGATTCGTAGAAGACCTATTACCTATTAAATTATAATAATATGACGTATCCGCTTGGGATGATTTTAAAAATAGTATCCCAGTTGTTTACGCTTGAACATTCAACATACCATACCATTCGTGCACACCTGTCAATATGATATATTGTTATTGTCTTTATTTAGATACATTTAGATTAATTAACAATTTTGTATATTATTTGTGAAATTATTCCTGTGATTATTCCTGTGAATAATAATTTTACTATTAAAAAACTAATGACAAAATTAAAATAACCGCAAAAAATACAAACAAAATGATATGTCACATAAAGATTGTAAAATAAAAAATTATTCGGGTTTCGGGTTAAAACCAATATTTTATTCGGGTTTTGGTTAATTCGAGTGTTTTAAAAAAAAAATCATTCGGGTTGTATGGGTTTTGGGTGTTTGATTTTTTAAGGGTTTTTAGGGGTGTTACGGGTTCGAGTTAGTTCGGGTGCAAAGACCTGTTTTTTTCTCATTTTTCTTATTTTTTAAAAAAAAAAAATGTTCAGTATATTTAATATAAAGAAAAAGCCTGACAAGAAAACATTACTACCAACTAGGGACAACGAAGACTTTGCAGTGGATGATCCAAGTTCAATAAATAGTAAAATCAAAATTAATAATTTGTCAATACCTGATGATCTTAACAATATTCATCCCGAGCATTCTGAAATTGCATTAAATGACTTAGGAAACTTGGAAACAGGACCAACTTAAACGTAAGTACTAGTGGTGGTCAAAAAACAGAAGTTAACTTGTAAGTAAAGTTAACAACGAAAAGCATTTAACAGCTCGTTAAAATGGAACAAACGGTTATCGATTGATTTTATTTGTTGAGTAAAAGTCTTAAATATTTAAATAACCATTAAATTTCATTTATTATTTATATTCTTCTTCTTGTTTTTAATATATACGACCAAGAGAGGAGAAAAAATATAAAACAAAAATTCATCGTGGTGGCTAGAAAAAAAAACTAATATAACAAAAATTACTTGTCTCTCGTTGCACAAAACTTAAGAGCACATAATTGTTTAGGATACGGTAAAACCGATAAACGAACGTTAATAATATTTGATTAATCTATTTATAAATTATTGTTTTAAAGGTCCTTATACATTACCGTTAAAAAATACTCGATGGAGACAAATATTGTTACAGTTGCCATAGGATTATTATTTATTTATTTGTCAATAACAACAGAATACATTAGAAGGTAATTTTACATGCTACAACAAATTATACATCATAACTTGTGACAGGGAATGATGAATATAAAACTGTTTCATATTAAAAATTAGGTAATAAGTTAAAATTTAAGCACGAATTAATTGTTTCTTGTTCAATGTTTTAAGATGACTTTTATAGATATAACATTTTTTGCACAAAGTAGTTTCAACAAAAATTACAATTTTTCGGCATACTCTATTGAATTCATGTTTGAAAATTTTCTTAGATCTAGTGTTATGTTCATATTATGTAGTACATCCATCGATATCCATTTTTATTTCATAATTGGATTAAAGATTTTCTTTAATAAATGTCAATTTAGATTAAGAACCCTATATATTCCCGTAAAATATATTATATTGTACTCGTATTATATAGTGACCAAGGGATGTCAAAATGATAGATTCTACAAATCGTTTAGATAAAATCCCTGAATGCTGACCTATACAAAACCAAACGAACAAATATGCCTCCTTTCATCGTCTACTAATTAATATACTGTACTAATTATGAAATATGAGTATTAAAATATTTAATCATAACACATTCCTCTGCGGTGTTCTCCTATTACACAGTACACCGTGAATCTATGGAGCTTAATATTTTGTCTGCTGTTCACTTCAATTGTTTCGGGAAAACAAATTAAATCGTGTAGATATCATTGAATCGATATGCATAACATATAATTGTGTACATACATATAGTATAACGTGTGGTAGTCCTCCAGTACGTTCTCAGAAAGGGTGTGAGAAACCTCGACGAGAATCTCTTCTCACCCGTCACCAAATCTCTCGGCATACCAAGCTCCCCGCAACTGCACAATATTAATTAATTATTTCAAATTTAATTCACAGCATTCGGGTTTGTGGGTCTCGCTCGCGGTGAAAACTCTCGATTTGCGTCTGATCGTTTTCCACTCCATTAATTCCCGCAATTCTCATAGGCAATTATATTGCATCGAGATCGATAGTATCCGTCGCTTTAGCCGAACACAGACAGTAATACAACACAAATTTTCCAGCTCTATATAACTTTGTGTTAACCAACGTTGCTTGGCAAACTCAATAATAAATTATTTAAGAAAAATAACAAAGAGAAAAACAAGATCTTTGTAAAAAAAAAAAAATGCAATAGTATTAGGCTTACCTCACGAAATCCAACACAACAAACATTTTTTTCAACTAAAATTCGAGAAATTGTGTACAATTCAACTTTCAATATTCCGAAAAAAAAAACATAGAGTTACATTATTTAAATAATTTATGGTATTATGTAACATTGATTTATGAAAAACATTTTCGACATATTACACATAAATTGTTTAATTTTAAACACTAGTTAAAAATTACTCTTAATTAATTAATATTTTAATAACATAAACTAATATTAAATTAGGACACTAAGATATGAATAAAAACTGCATAAAACAGAAGAAAAAAACATGTGTATAGGTAATAAACAATTCTTCTTCTCCTTTGTCTTTCTCCCAACTATTTGGTATCGATCACACTTGTCCTAAACCTCCACTCGTATCGATTTTCTACATTCTCTATGCACACACCAAAAACCCTGATAACATATTCAATCGTATCCAACCATCTCATTTTTAGTCTTCCTCTTCCTCTTATTCCTTCAACGTTCATTTTTATAACCACTCTTACTGATTTTGTTTCCTCTCGCCTCATCACATGCCCAAATTATCTGTCTATTTTCTCTCATCTTGTTCACTATCGACGCTACACCAATACTACCTTTCAAATACTCATTCCTTATTCTATCTTCTCTTGTCACTCTACTTGTCCATCTAAGCATTCTCATTTCCGCAACACTCATACAATGTTCTATTCTCATATCAACCGCTAAACACTCTGAACCATATAGCATAGTTGATCTCACTAAACCCTGTAAAATGTACCTTTCAGCCTCATTGGAATTTTCTTATCGCATAAAACGCCCGAAGCTTCTCTCCATTTCAACCTACCACACTTAATTCTATGTTTTACATCTATGCCAAAGACCCCGCCCTTTTGTACAAATGATCCTAAATATTTAAAGTTCTCGAATTCACCTTTCACATCACCACTTATTGTCATTGGTCTCCTCATACCCTCAAATCCTTGGTATCTTCCTCTAAAGTCATACTCTATATACGATGTTTTATTTCTACTAACTCTCAATCCCTTCCCTTCGAGGATTAATCTTCACCTATCCAACCTATTATTAACTTCTTCCAGATTTTCTCCTACCAAAACTAAATCATCAGCAAACATCATACACCATAGTATATCACCCTATGTGTTTGCCTTAACTTCGTCCATTACCACGAAGAAAAAATAAGTGTTTTAAAGCTTTTGATCCCTGATGCACACCAACTCCTACATTAAAATCTTATCCAGAATTTTTTTTGGAAGGGGTTATAAAAAATGTAACATTCAATTTTTTTTTAATTTTGTGTGTTTTTATTATAATCAATAGACAATTTACATACATTAAACATTTTCGAGGGGGGTTGTAACCCCCTAACCCCACCCCTGGATACGCCATTGCTCCACACAAACGATTTACACTAGTTCAATGTAATCTAGTCCAGTAAGTTTAAATTATTAATCCTGTCAATCGTATTAAAATTGTACAAACGTCAATAGTGTAGGTGAAATTCATAACTTATATGAATATTAAAATATGACTTGTCTACTTATCTATTGTCTAACAAGGAGTACAAAATAAATAAAACTCTGGCGGTCAAAATATATATTTTGATTTGTTGTCACCAATAGGTGACAGCACAAAATAACACAGTGGACCGTTCGTTGAAAACTTCATGCGCTAATGCACGTTACGTGAAAATCAGACTTAAGCGTACCAAACGGTCGTTACTCTTTCTTCGTCAATTGGGATAAAAATCTGTTTTGATAAATATTACTCACTGCCTCGGAGATGAACGAAAGACTACGTACCGTCCGACTACGAGGTTGGACTTTGGTTAACATATTTCGCGATAGCACGACTTATCAGAGACGTGAATCGTGAAAAAAAACACATGAAACCCCATTTTGATTGAATAACTAAAGAATAAATCACTTCTAAAATTTGAAAATTTGAGAAAAATGTGATAACTTGTATAAGAAAACATTTTACTTAAATGTATATAAAATCCAATGAGCAATATATATTAAAGCTACAACATTGTGAATCTATTACGTTGTAACACGACACGTACGGATGGAATAATAATAATAGTACATACCAGCAGTTTAAAATCCATGGACAATATAGTACTATATTGCTACTGTTAAATGAAAACTACACTAAAAATGAATTGTTCCAGTGATTAATATAGTTTTTTTCTAAATGGAGTACGTAAATATAAACAACCTCATTACTATCTACAATTCAAAGAAAATGGATATCAAATTAATATTAGTAAAATAAAAAATTAATGTTTAATAAAAAAAAACGATTTTAACCGATAATGTGTCAAATATTAATTATGTAAACTACTACTGTAGGTGCGGGATGTCTTCATACTCATATTACGTACGAACACTAATTAACCGTTGTCTTGTGTATAATAATAATAATAAACACTCAATGATACTCAATCAATTACACAAATATGTCCAATAAAATTAAGTACGATAGTAAAAAGAATTTAATGACATTCAGATTTGTGAATAATTTTTAAATCATTAGGATCACAATGAAATAAACCAAAAGAAATATCCTTAGACATGGAAATGTTTGCGGGTGACAGTGATGAATGAGTTGTACTATAATTTTTGATTTGATCTCATTGTTGGTTGAATACTTTTGGTCCGGTCCGATAGAAATGTCTACGATATCGTCTACAATCACGACAACAGGCGGACTCCAGGGAAAAACGGTATTAAACGCGAAATCCTTTTGGACGTTTACCGTTATATGCGACCTATTATTATATTATGCAAAACGGCTTCACTGACGGGAAGCTACGATAATGATTTTTTATTTTGCACCACTTTGCGATTACTGCGATTAGTAAACCAATCATTTTATTCAACGTGTGATTGTTTTGAATTCGAATCTATTCTAATATTCGAATCCGTTCCCTTGTAAAACAATAACAATTTCTTTCCGAATTGTTTGACCGTACGACCCAATATACGTATAATATTATTTTCTGGTACGTTTTGCACAACCGTCGGGATCGTGATAACATTTCATCCGATGCGTTTGTCAAACATTTTGTTTTTTACTGATTTCACAACTGGTTTTACAAGTAAACACATTATTAAAAAAACGAAAAACGGTAAATGTATTATTTTCTTATCGATTGAATAATGATTGCATCAAACGAACGCAAATGTATCTGGTGGAAAAATAAAAAAGATAATACAAACTAGAAATATTATATCGAAACCCCTTACCTGATGTTTCGTATTTCGTTGTTTTGTAACGGAAAAGCGTACATTTTAATGCAACAATATAATATTGTATTAATAAAAATATAAAATAAAGATTCTGAAAAGAAACTGGGATATAATGTAATATAATATTTAATAATAAATATTATTATTATGTGGGTAGATAATAAAAACACATTATATGAAAGCTAAGACGAAAAAATATATATATTCGAACCGTCACTATACATACGTACGAGTTTGAAAAAAAAATTGAATATAATATGTATAAAAGACCATTGTAAAAAATATCTTACCATCGATTTCCGAAAACGTTGTTTTTTAGACTGTTTTCATTTTTTCGAATTACAAGATGATAATATACATGGTAACGATAAAAAAATCTTATCACGTTAACGTGTCCGGCACAGTGGCGTAGCCAGGATGGGGGTGTTGTAACCACCCCTCCATTAGTTTTTATTTATTAATTTTTTTAATCATTCAATTCCCTGTATGCACGGCGTCATTAATAGTTGACCGTGGTAGACAATCGATGGTGACCAATTATAGAACAATAAATTACTCATTTTGTGTTGTTCCTCTGTAGCTGATAACGATGCATACACACAAGGTGCGTACTCATTTGAAAAATGGTACTTAACAATATAGTAATGTGTACATAACATATTTATTATTAGACTATCGATATTCCATGTTATCAATTTATTATGTACGAAAACGGTTTTTTCTCTCATCATAAGTTTACATTTTTTTTAAATACCCAAAAAAAAAAATAATGTTTTATCCGAATCAATAGGACATGCATGTTCCTTATAAACCCATAACCGTTTGAAACTGTTATGTTCAACAAGATGGATAGACCGACATGACTCAATAATTATTTTTCTCGTATTATTTGATGCAATAGTTAATAGTTTATCAGAAGCTTGTACTTGGCTTGATAAGGATGATTCATCAGAAAAACATATCAATTGCAATGTGCTATTAGAAAACCAGAATTTATACTAGCAATTTTTATACTGGGACGCGCGTTGAGTTTTAGCTTACCATTTAGTAAGTTTCTTCAGACAAAGAATACAGATCTGGTTGAAGCTATTCAAACCGCTGATGACATAATAAATATAATCAAACAAATAAGATAAAATGATAAAAGTGAATTTAAAACTATATTTAATTATGTAAAATCTATATGTGATGCCTTAAATATTGAAATATATATTTCTCGTACAACTAATAAGCAAAAAAACAGATGCAATATCCAGGTTGGTTTGCCTGAAAATTATTACGGAATATCTTTATTCATTCCATTTATAGATCATTTTTTAAATCAATTAAATGATCAATTTTTATCTCATAGATCTATAGTTGAAAATGTTAACGTTATTTTTACATCATCCAATAGTATACATTATGAAGAAAAAATTAAAAAGCAAGTTGAAATGCATCAAGGGCCATTTAGATTGCAGTGTGTTAGCAGCTGTGAGTGAAATTAAAATTTGGCAACAAAAATATACAGGAACTAAAAACGCTCTAATAGGAACTAATAACGCTAACAGTGAACGATATTTTTCAACATTAAAAAGATTGAAAACATATTTACGAAACACCACATGTGACCACATGTGAAAACAGATTGAATGGTTTGGCAATGATGAATACACACAGTGATATAATGATACACCCTGATGATGTCCTAAATAAATTTATAACTAAATTAAGAAAACTTCAGTTGATGTAAGTTTGAATGTAATTAAAATATTTTTTGACTTTAAATGCTTTAAATAAAGTACAAGAAAATTTAAAATTATATGTTATATGTATACCTACATATTGTATAGACCTAAACCGTAACCCCCCCCCCTCGCATTGAAAAATCCTGGCTACGCTATTGGTCCGACATACAAACATATAACGAGTAATAAGTCGCATAGTTTTTATCATAATTTGCCGGCACCAAGATAATATACCAAAATATACGATGCTCAGTAATGCTGAAAGAGTAAAAACAAGAATAACGTAATATAAATGTATTCATTGTAGACTTTACATTTATTTACTAGGTAAATTATTGCGATAAGATATATTTATAGGTTTGCTTAAAGCATGAAATATGACTAGTTGGTCTAAGACGAAAAAAATAACTGTTAAGTTTATAGTGTACCGTCTATATCCCTTTGGTAAAAACCAAACTTAAGATTGTCGAGTGTGATAAAAATTATTTATTGTTCGTTAGTTGAAATCGTTTCGTCACATCACTCAAAATCAAAAATATTATACGAACTAAATGCATTTCCGATATTATTACCGATTATTCTATGAAAAAATATTATGTAATTTACTTTATCGGCCTTTTTCTCTAATATGTTATCTTGATTTTCCAATACTAACGGCGAATCAATTGATAATCAATTATATAAAAATATGTATTGAAGATTTATTTGAGTCCTAATAAGAAAAAAATAGATCAGTTAGATCAGTTTATATTTCTTAAGCTGGTTGATATAGTACAATAATCAAGTTTCTAATTAAGGTAAATTCAATTTTTCAATGTTTTAACTTTCACAAAAGAAAGGGCATTTGAAATTTGGAAACGAAAAAATAGTCAACTGTTTATAAACAACACGAATTTCATTGAAATACTACAAAAGTATGAAATTTCTTTCATTAAATAATTAATACATTTCAATGGAAATACGTTGAAAAATCAGATTTCGTAAAAATTTCACTTCATAATGCTTATATAATAATTTTGTGACTTTCTAAAACATATTTTTCATATTTACCGCAAAAAAAAAAAACCTTATAAAATATGTTGAAACATATTTTCAAACTTTAAGTAGGTAAAAAATTAAAAAATTAATGCATTT